ACTCTTTATCCATTCCACATTCAACCCCGCAATCGACTAGTCAACAATCCTCATTATACGTACCGCAAAGTTTCAATGGCTCTACATTCTACAATCCTCAGTCAAATCAGCTTACATTCCCGATTCTTTTGCCACTGAATTGCTCGGAATCGTCACCCACTTGCTTAACGCCGCAACCTCTACTTTTCTCACTGCCCGCCCCAAAAGCGTTTCGTTCCTCTAGGGATGCTTCTGCAAGTCATGGTGCCAGTGTGGGTGGAAGCAATGGCGTTTTGACAGAATATACTGAAAACAATGTCGTATATACCGCTGACATAAAGCCTGTAAGTATTTCATTAAATAAGTAATGATACATTTTTCAAATATACATCCGATGCAGTATATCCAATTAATTATATTAAATTACACTTTTAGACTGCATTTCAAAAGACTCAAACGGTTATCTCCTATTTACCACCTTCGGGATCCCCAGGATCCTCAAGATCTTTAGGATTCTCGTCGGGATATTCAGGACTCTCAGGTTTCCCAGGGTTTTCAAGACCCTTAGAATCTGTAAACTTCACAAAACCTTTAGAAATTTCAAGTTTCTCAGGACTTTCAGGATTCTTAATACCCTCGCAACCGTTAGGTCCCTCGGGATTCCCAGGATCCGCAAAACCTTCAGAATTTCCAAGACCCTTAGAACCTTCAAGATTCTTAGAACCTGCAGAACTTTCAGGAATACCTTCAACAACCACCAGAAGACCATTCTCTTCCTCTCTTACGCCAAATGAAATTGGCGTTTCTATTAATGTAGCGACTACAGAGGAAGTTCCACGACTTCCTGAAACCAAAACTAGTATTCCGAGTACTGGTACTGGAAGTACGTATCTATTTACCGCGCTTAAAATATAAACGCATAGCATACAAAAACATAATAAATAAATAATTTTATCGTCCAGTCACCACTCAAGCTGATGACGATCTGCATCCGCCCCATATTCATAGCCTTGATGTCGAATGTAGTAAGACAATGATGACGATCAATATCGAATTCAATCGCGTTTTCGACGGCATTATTTATTCCAAGGTAAACAAAATAATCTCTTGCACCAAAAATCACCAACAATTAATGTATCGATATTCCAATTTCAGGGATATTATGCGAACCCGGAATGTACCTATGTGAAACAGAATTCTGGCTCAACGCGGTACTCTTTCACTGTGAATCTAAACTCCTGCGGAACTCAATTTATCAACGATTTCGCAGGTGCTGGTCAAGCGTATTTGGAGAACGTCCTCGTATTACAAGTTGGTGTTCAATTAATTAAATTTATTAATTCGATTTAACACTTTGTCTATGAATTTCATTAATTACACTTAGAGCTCGTAAAAATATCACTTATAATTATTAAACATTAAAATGAAACGTTCTACTTATTAAAGAACGAACCGGATGTACAAGAAGTGTGGGACACAGTCCGAGGAGTACAATGCCTCTGGGAAGGAAACATCAATAAGGCTCTAACGGTGAATCTTTCAGTAGATATATTGAAACCGGATGTCGCTAAATTTGACGGTGATACTGCAATAGCCAAATTGGATATTCAAATTGGTAAAGGACCTTTCGCACCTGCTGCCGACGGGCTCGTAAAAATCGGAGAAACAATGACTTTAGTAGTCTCAGTAGAAGGCGATCCTGATTTCGATCTTCAGGTACTTGTCGAAAACTATCTTACATGCGTAATAATAATTTGTATAATAGCATTACGCTTTAATGTATAAAATGATAAAGCGCTATTGAAATTAATATATGCGTATACAGAACGAATAATTATAAGTTAATAATTATTTCCTAACGCATATTATTTTTATTTTAAGGTAATGTAATTTTGTTTACCCTTGACGCAAAATAATATGAATTAAACAGAAGACAATTATAATTACTTTCAAGGTACGCGACTGCTTGGCGCGAGATGAAATTTCATCAAACATGCTACAGCTCACCGATAATAGAGGTTGCATTTTAAAACCGAAGCTGTTCGGTGCCTTCCAAAAGACAAAGGATACTGGCAATACAGGCGCTTCTATTATCGCTTATGCATTCTTTCAAGCCTTTAAATTTCCCGATGTTTTGGATTTATTTATCGAATGTAATGTCGAATTATGTAAAACTAATTGTGAACCTTGTCCGGACGTAAATCAAGTAAGATACAAAAATCAATTTAAATACAGTATACTATGTAATATTTGGTAAAATTACTAATATTTGTTGAAATTAATAATTGCATGACGTGTCATAAAATCATCATATTTTACACTAACAAACCAAAAAATTTTTCACAAACTCTATAAAATATTTCGAACTAAATATTATTCTAAATTTTGCAAAATTCCTTATTTTACAAAATAAATTATGCAACAAATCTTTACATTTTTCTATGCAGTTCATATATAAAATAACTTGTTTTAGCAAATTGAGCCAGGAAGACGTCGTCGCTCGGTAACATATGCACAACCTTCAAGCAATTCAACGAATTCGATTCTGTTATCAGATCCAGTTCGTATTGGACGGCGTTTCAAAGTGATCATGTTAGACGATATAAGTGTAGCATCCAGCCAAATTTTGGATATATAAAGGAAACAGCGGTCGAAGCGATAAACATAAAAGAAATCTGCATGAGCAGCAGTGGATTTTACACGATATTCTCTCTTACATTGGGCACGCTTTTTACCGCGATCATAAGCGCAGTTGTGTTATATGTTAAATTACAACGAATCCACTGACCAAAATCATGGATGTTTTAAATATTATAATTTTTAAATATTGTAATAATATATACATATACATATATCAAGAAAAAAATTGCATAGAAAACAGTGAATACTTGTCAAGAATCAAATAATTCAAACGCTAAGAAACCATTACTTTATGGCTAATGAATTTAATTGTGAAGAAAATGCTGAAGATCAAAGAAAAACATACACCAAAATATTCAGAATATTCAGTAGTTAATAGTAATTGAAGAAGAACAAAAATATAATGGCACTTAATTTTTTAAATACTTACAAATTAGATTTTATTAATTAATTTCATCGCGAAATATAAGAAATCTTTCTTATTCGATATTAAAATAGAAAAACAATAGAAACTATATTATACATATCAGTTTATAAATAACAAAATACTAGCGCAATTTTCAGACCATAATAGCATGTATTTTGTTAATACTTAAATACCAATATGGTATTTATTGTAATACTCAACCTCATTTCATAATCTTATTTTATAATATAAATCTTAAGTATTTAAAAAATAAATCATAATATCTGAAAAAATGTAACATATTTTTTTTATCATCTTTCTTCATTTAATGATCAAAGAATTCTTATATTGAAGAACGACATACTTGCTCAATAAACTTTCATTTTTGTGTGATTAACTATTGAGGATTAATTCATAATATAACCCGCGTGAATCGATCTATTATTCATTTTGTACTCTCTAAATTTTCTAGAGTGAATCTCACTCCAAAAGAGTGAAATCTCACTCCTTAGAGTGAAATTTCAATCCAAAAAATTTAGAGAGTATGTCTTATCATTGTATAATTATAATAGCGTTGTAATCCGACAACGAGTTCAATTCTTCGAAACTCGTACAATAAATTTACGATGTTTCGTTGAATTCCTACAAATAAATTACAGTGCATATTTATATAACTGTTAAAACTGAATTTATAAATCAAGAAATTTCTTTATTTTGAGATGAATAACATTTTTCCACTGTTTCTCGCATTTCCTATTTTGGAAGAGCTTCAGAATTCCATCTTGGTACTTTCATCAGTACGAACAATAGATGCATATTTATAATCATTGCACGATCGATAATCGCATTTTAACACTCTTCTCTATTTGAACTCCATTTCAAATCATGTAGCATTAACTTTTCCAATTTGGACTTAACTAACCAATGCAAAATAAACTTTCTTTTAGTTTTGAATCTAGATATGCTTTTTCTGTTAATTCTTTTATTTTTTGTAACTCTTCAACAACGCGTATCTTTATTTTGTCATTTCACATAAGTCGAACCAACAATTCTTATAATATTTCATTTCTTCGAGAAGTATGGGTGTGGGAAAAAGTTCGTGGCGTTTTGCACTAGATGGTATTACATACTCAGCACTCGGTAATTATACTCGGTATTAGTCACATCGGCAACACTATAAAAACGTGTGTGACGTGTGACATTTCAACCTTTGTTTTGAACCAAAGAAGATTGAAATCGGTGAAGTGGATCAAAAGTTATTTTATTTCGAAAATGGAGATAAATAAGGAAAAATTTCGATACATTTTGCAGTATTACTACGATAAAGGCAAGAACACTGCACAGGCTTATATGCTAAGATTAAATTACTTTGAATTTCTGAGTGACACATGTTCGCCCAAAAACGCAAATTCTAACTTACGTGGATTAAAACTCGATTTTTCTTAAAAAAGAATCATCACGTTGCGAAACTATCGTTTATAAAAATTAAAAAAAAAATAAATTTTTTCGATTTTGTTCCCTTCACCATTGTTTGATTTTATTGTATATATACTTATAATTTTTTATAATGCAATAAAAAATATTATTTCGCATGCATACATAAAACTATATATTTCTTGTACTTATTTCCAAGTTTATTTTAAAGGTAGCTTTATATTTTCTGAATATCTTAGGAAAAAGGACACATTTATACACAAAAAACACAACTATATGGCTCAGATCTACGAATTCAATGATATAAACGGCGGATATTAATTTTATTTAATTTAACTAATTTTTGCCTTTATATTTATCAAAACATCTTTCACATCTGTTTAACAACGCAATTAAATTTAGAATATACACTCCAAAAACACGTTTCTGTTTGAATAATTTACAAAAATAAAAAAAACAGCTTACGTATTTTCGACACAAAAGAATTAGGCTTAAACGCTAATAAACGCTCAGGAGCTGCATGCCGTGCAGGCGTCCCCGTTCTTACGCGAGCAAACGAGCATCGCCTCCAAGTTCTTACTCGCTTGCTGATTTAATTGTTTTCGCTTTTCGGCCTCGTCGTCGTTGTTCTTCTTGGTAGGTGACTGAACAGGACTGCTGATAGTAGAGATGCTGGCATTCGAGGCACTCGATACGGAACCGCGATTTTGCAATTTCGACTTGTCCACTGTAAACTGAATAGGATTTGCGGCCGGCTTCGTTCTCAAGTAATACATGCCAGTCTTTAGGCCCTATAAGCGACAATTTATTTTTATAGGAAACATTCGTGATTTACACGATTTCATTAGATTTCTTAATAGTGGTTTCTAATATCTGTGTAATGACGAGGTTGAACTTATTAGAATTGGACATTTACATGAGTATTGTACAAATTTTGAAACGAATAAAATAATTGTGATATCACTTACGCTTTTCCAGCCGAAGAAATGCATCGACGTGAGCTTGTCAGTTGTTGGATCTCCTATGTGGACATTCAGTGATTGCGACTGATCGATGAAAGCTCCTCGGTCGGCCGCCATTTCGAGAATT